CCACAAAAGCATCACTCATGTCCCAAAGGGCTACGGAATGAAGATAATCTCAAGGAGGCAATAAATGTGGTGGAAATTACAATAATTAATGAGCATCTGCTAATCGTGGGAGCCTGTGTCAGAAAACTTGCATCTGCTGGATGTTGCTAAGTGGCACGAAGGTGCAGGGAACCTGGCTGGTGAGGCCTAGCCCCATTGCTGAAGCAGCCCTGCAGAGCGGAGGGACAGATGGTGGCTCAGACAAGAGACGAATGTAAACGAGAATTTTGGCATGAGACACTGTGCACCCCGCACTTTATATAAAAGTCATTCTCTGGGAAATGGCTGTCCAGTGCTGCCAGCCACTGTAGAATGAAGTTTGATGTGGCATGGCATGGTGTGGGACACAGGCCTTGATCTGGGATTTTGACACCTTGAATCCTGAATCTTCGATGACGTGGCTGTGTGATCTAAGTCCAGTTGCTTAACTTCTCTGGACATCAGCTTTCTTTCAGAGAAGGGGATGAATGATACCTCCCTGTGATAGATGGTGTCACTGGCCCCAATCCTTCACCTTTCTCTCCTTTGTTCATGCCCAATGACATGTGATTTTGTAGTGACCTTTTCTTCATAGGTGGGGCTTACTTTCATGCCTCAGTCTTAGGTTTGGCCCTGTGACCTGTTTTGGCCAACAGAGTGAGGCAGAAGTGCTGGTTTCCAGTTCTGAGTTGCACCTCCACCTGCCTTTGTACCTCTGTCTTCACCCTGGGCCAACTCACTGGTCCCAAGAGGAGGATGTGAGCCACAAGGACCAGGAGGAGCCTGGGGTCATAGAAGTCTCTACACAAAAGCTCACCAGCTGAGGATGGCTCCATAGCTAAGAGCCCACCTCTTATGTTGAGCGACTTTGTGGTGGGGTGTCTTTGCTACTACAGGGAAGTAGGTTATATGCTGTTCTCCTGGCAACTGGACCATGTGCCTCTCTAAAGCCTAGTGTGTGGTCTCCCAACTTTGTTGCACCTCCCTGGCAGACACACAGTCTGGATGCCTTGTGTTTCTGTGCCTTCAGCTGTTGCATCCCTTGCCTTAAGACTGTGGGCTTCCAGTACTCAGGCCTTGGCTGCCCAAGTTCTCCCCTGGGCCATCCAAGTGTCTGGCAGGACCCTCTTTGGCCCAGGAGTGATGTTCCCCTGGTGGCCTGCAGACCTGGCTCTGGGTTCTGGGATCCCAGGAGGTCTTGCCTACACCTAGCTGCAGTCACAGTGCCATGTGGTTTTGGGCAATTCCCCTGGCATCCTTTTGAAGCCTCATATTTCACAGTGGTAACAGGAAGTGCTGTTGCCTGACCCAGACTTGGTGGATGTCACTTATGAAAGTGGCAAGTGACTTATGAAAGTGGCACTTATGAAATACCAGGTCTCATGAAACCATTATTCTACGCTGGCTTTAAGGAACATCACTGAGATAAACAGAGGAGAGTCCCCTGTCTTTACCCCAGATTCCCCTGGCCTTCTTCCTCTCTGTCTTTTTTGTTAATGTCTTAAATTTCAGCCTCTAGGGGCTGGGGATTTAGCTCAGCGGCATAAGCACCTGCCTTGCAAGCAGGCAGTCGTGAGTTCGATCCCTGGTACTGATAAAAAGGAAAAAGACAAAAAAAAATTTCAGCCTCTTTAGAAAGCTGGGAAATTAATTAATTAATTTCCCAAAGTAGCCTTGTGAAAAGATCCCCTTCTAAGCTTTGGACAGGCATTTCATAGAAGAAAAAAACCTCAAATGATCAGTAAATAGTTTACAAGTTACCCACCTCCTTTAGTAATGAGGGGAAATTCAAATTAAAACCAAAATGAGGTCCCTTATGACACTTGCCAAATTAGCCAAAGTTGCAAAGCCTGACAATATGAAATGCTGATAAGGACGTGGGACCAACAGACCCCTCAATACACTGTGGTGGGGATATAACCACCACTACAGAAAAACCTGGCATGATCTAGTAGGTAGACGCCATGCAGGTCTTCCCCTCTCATGCTTCCAGAACAGGTTCCAGCAGGGACTCTCACCCAAGAACAGGACAGAAGAGGTGTGACTGAAATATACGGTGAATATTTAAATTTAAAAATTTATTACAGTAAAAGACATTGCATTAATCCCCTTCAAAATACTCCCCCTTGCTTCAAACACATTTATTGCATCATATTTGCCACTTCCTGAAGTAGTTTGAAAGTCCTCTTTCAGAAGTCTTTATAAGGTGTAATAAAAATAAAAATACAGTAAACGCCACTACCGAGTGTCATCTAACGGAAACGCAGGCTTGTAAACCATGATGGTGCGTCCTTACGCAGCATACTCACCGGATATAGTACCGTGCAACTTGTGGCTCTTTAAAATGACCATCAAAGGTCAATGTTTTGACTCTGCACAGGACATCAAAGCAACCACCACTGTCTGATTTAAAGACACTTATGAAGGAAGACTTCCAGAACTGCTGCAGGGAGTGGCAAAGGCAATGGGATAAGTGTGTTGGAAGTGGCAGGCTGGGGGATATTTTGAGGAAGATTAATGACATGATGCCTTTTACTATAATTAATTGTTTAAAATTTAAACATTTCCCATATTTTTAGCACATCTCATGAATGATTTGCATGGGTCACATAACATTGTTTATAAAAGATGATTCAAGGCCGGGTGTGGTGGCAAATGCCTGAAATCCCAGTATTTGGGAGACAGAGGCAGGAGGATTGCTGCAAGTTCAAGGTCAGTCTAGGTTACATAGTGAGTTCAAGGCCAACCTGAGCTACATAGAGAACCTGTCTTAAAAAGCCAAAAGAAAAATTCAAAAAAGTAGAGACAGGGGCTGGGGATTTAGCTCAGCGGCATAAGCGCCTGCCTTGCAAGCAGGCAGTCGTGAGTTCGATCCCTGGTGTCGATAAAAAGGAAAAAGACAAAAAAAAAAAAGAAGAGACAGTCACTCAAATATCCATCAACAGTAGAGTAGATAAATAAAATGTACTGAACTCACACAGTGGAATTCCATAAGAGGGGCAAATAAATGAATCAGATCTCCACAATTCAACACAATAGAGCGGAGTAAAGAAACCAATTACAGAAGAACTCAAACAAACAAATAAATAAATAATAGCAGGTTTCAGGCTCAGTTCCTCTGGCAGACAGGAATTTAATTCATTATTTTACCTTCAACACATTTCTGTATAGCTACTTTCTATTTATGCCCTGAGATGCCAGTTTTCCAGTTAGGTGATAGAGAGTTCCTTTTAAAAATAGATTTAAAGGGGCTGGGGATTTAGATCAGCGGCATAAGCACCTGCCTTGCAAGCGCATGGTCGTGAGTTCGATCCCCGGTACCGATTAAAAAAAAATGAGAGTACACTAGAGATAGCAAAAATTGTGAAAGTGAATGGGGAAGACTGAGGAATTGTGTTAAGTGATGACCTTGACTTTGACCCAAATTTCAATGTGGGCCATGCTTGAAAACTTAGGTAAACTGTTGCACATACCTGATTCTCTATGCAATGGAAGTCATCATCATCATCATCATTGCTCGTAACTCTTTATCCAAACCCTTTCGGACCAGATGTATTTTAGAATTCAAAACCTTTCAGATTTTTAGAATACCAAATGCTATACATTATGGGCTGGGTCAGGCAGTACCCTGTAACTAAGCACTGCAGTATTTCTGCAGTAAAGGTACAGCTGTTCACATAAAATTTTTTTCTTTTAAAAGAGTCTATATATTCCATGAGTCATGGCCAGATTTTTTAGCCAAAAGAATTTTCTATAAACTCAAAAAGAAAACTTTCATATTCTAAAGCTTGGGATTTTGTCATCATGGACAAGGAGCTGTAGGCCTCAGACAGCTTCATAGGAAGTGGAGCAGGTGGTGGTGGAGCCTGAGGGTCAAAGCCCCCAGCACGGCTGGCTCAAAGTAAGTGTCCAAGCAAGTACATATGGCACAGGGGCAGGGCCAGAGCACCAGAAGAAGGGTCTAGAAAGAGCAAGGGACACAATCAAGAGGACTGCAGCACCAATGACAGGAAGAGGGACTTAAGAGTGTCCAAATGTCTAAGAAATCTCCTGTGACCCTGCCTCTCCTCCTCTCTTTTTTCCTCCACCCCGTCTGTCTTCTCACTTCCTCTCTTGCTCCTCCACCTTCACTCTGTAGTAATAAGCAGTCCTATCCAACTCTCTCAAGACCCACATATGCGTGCGAATACAGAGTCTAGGGAGGAGGGAGGCACTGAGCTGTGCGGGCAAGTGACACAGGGACGAGAAAGAAGCCCATAAACACAAGCTAGTCATAACGGTGGGCAATCCAGTGGTGTTTACTGTGCCAGGAACTGGGAGACAGCAAAACACACATGCCTCAGTGTTACCCTAGCTGAGGGTGGAGGGATCTGGAGAAATTCACCCACTTACCATTCATTCATTCCTGGGGACCTAGAGATGGGTGAGCAGGCTCCAGCAGCAAGGTAAAGGTTCCCTGGCAATGACATGTAGTTCATAGTGGTGGCAGTCAGAAGATACGGACTGAAATGAGCGGGTTAGAGGGGTAGGGACAGGGTACCAATGGGGTCTGTCCATTAACCCAATGGCCATATTTCCTATTTGCTTGCTGACACATCCTCTGTTCTTTTCAGAATGTCCATCTGCCCCAAATCATGTTTCAAGGCAGTAGAAATAACATTCCCCAGGGGTCGGGAATACATTCAGTGTCACAGTGCCTGCCTGGCAAGCACAAGGTCCTGAATTCTACTCCTGGTAAAAGAAAGAAAGAAGGAAGGAAGGAAGGAAGGAAGGAAGGAAGGAAGGAAGGAAGGAAGGAAAGAAAGAAAGAAAGAAAGAAAGAAAGAAAAGAAAGGAAGGAAGGAAGGAAGGAAGGAAGGAAAAGAGAGAGAGAAAGAATCCCTCCACTTTAGAGCCTAATCCTGATTGATCTAGAGTCTAAGCCAATCATGATGCTCACCATTGCCGTTAGTGATGCTTGGCCTAGAAGTGGATATGTGGCTCTTTCCGTCTTCGGCCGCAGTGAGAGGAGTCGCCGCCATGTCCGCGCATCTGCAGTGGATGGTGGTGCGGAACTGCTCCAGCTTCCTGATCAAGCGGAACAAGCAGACGTACAGCACGGAGCCCAATAATCTGAAGGCCCGCAACTCCTTCCGCTACAACGGGCTGATTCACCGCAAGACGGTGGGCGTGGAGCCGGCGGCCAACGGCAAGGGGGTCGTGGTGGTCATGAAACGGAGATCCGGACAGCGGAAGCCAGCCACCTCCTATGTTCGCACTACCATCAACAAGAATGCCCGAGCCACCCTCAGCAGTATCCGACACATGATCCGCAAGAACAAGTACCGCCCAGACCTGCGCATGGCCGCCATCCGCAGAGCCAGTGCCATCCTGCGCAGCCAGAAGCCTGTGATGGTGAAGAGGAAGCGGACCCGCCCCACCAAGAGTGCCTGAGCAATAAACTTTCCTGGGGCCTTGGGCCTTGTCAAAAAAAAAAAAAAAAAAAAAAGAAGTGGATATGTGATTTATGTCCAGCCAATGAGAGATGGAGAGATCAGCTAAAATATTTCTAGGGAAAATTTACTGTTTTCGGTGTCTAGATGTGATACTTGGTGTTGAAGCAGCTATGTTAGAGCCATGAGAAAAGCAGACTGAGGGTAAAGATCACAGAGGGCAGAGAGCTGACGTCACATGGCCACTTATCATACCAAAAATGAACTTGCCTACCTCTGCATTTCTTGGGTAATTAGTCATGTGCCAATACCAGTGTTTTACTCAACAGTGGACTGCATATATGACAGTGTCCTGTAAGATTACATTGTATATAATGATGTCATAACTGTCTTGGTTGTGTAAGTATACACTGTAATGTTCACATAATAATGGAAATGCCTCATTTCTCAGAACTTTTCCCCATTAAACAATGCATTACTATATTGGGAATTATATGTTATCTACATCAAAGGGCAATTTAGATATTAAAAGGAAGCATGGTGGCACACATCTATATTCCAGCAGTCAGGAGGCAGAGGCAGGAGGACCTGTCTGGGCTACAAAGTGAACTCAACTACATAGCCTGAACTGCATGATGATACCCTGTCCAAAAAAAATATTAAAAGGAATATACATCTGGAAAGTGAAAAATGGGAGAGTCTCAAGTGATAAGACCACATACAAGCAGGGCTAGACTTTGAAGACTATCACAAGAAAGATGACACTTTTGGCATGTAGGGCCCTGGGTTGGGCTGGGCTGTTAAGGATGGTTTCATAAGGGAGGTCGGATTGGAAGTCCGTGAAAGCCGGATTCCATCTCTGCATTGTCAATCACAAATGGCCCAGTTCAAGCCCAGGACCCTTACTGTCCTCCCTGAGAACCCAGACTGTACCTCCACCAGGAAAGAAATCCCGGCTGCACAGGTCGGGAAGACTGTGGGTAGACACACAGCCTTAGCAGCATTCTGGGCTTGTCTGGCCTTTAACGTGTGATTTTGAGAGTTGGAAGCGAGAAGATTATAACTCAGAATGGCACGCGGGTGTGAAGCCGGCTGTCTTGCCAGCTATTTGCCTGTATTTAAAACACATATGGGTGATATTTTTAAATATCTTTGCCGTGTGATTGAAAAACATTGCAGTTGCTAGTTCATGGACGTGGGTTTTTATGCAAACCCAGGGACGGGATGAGTGTATGTTGTACCTACGTGGGCTTTGCTGGAAAGAATGCAAGGCTGGAACAGCACAGCCAGCATCAGTGTCAGGCAGGGACCTGGGGCTGTGCCATTCAACAGTAAACTTGAGTGTTCAGGGCACTGGCAAAAGTCCCCAGGTTTCTCGGAGCGGTGGGATTTATGTGAGGCTCCTCCCAACCCGCAGGAGTGACCCAGACCCGGCAAATCATATCATTCTAACCTCTCGGCCCCAGATGTTGATTGAGGCAGAGATCATGCCCAAAGCATGCCCATTAAACAATGGAATTTTCAGAATTACTGGCACAGAGGAGCATCTTCCTGCTAAGTTGCTAGCTCCTATCTCAAACTGCACCTGAAACTGTCAGAGACCATTACTGTCACTTCTTGGAAAAGCCTGCTGATAACAAAGCCAAGCCATACCTGAAGTCTATCCCTGAGCTCCCTGCTTCCTTCCTTCTCTCCTTCCCTCCTTCTCTTCTTTCTTCTTCCCTTTCTTTCAAAATTGTAATAAAATATGTATAACCATAAAACTTGTCCGTTTAAACGTGTTTAAATGTACAATTCAGTGGCATTAAAGATACAATACTGTGCAACCATGATGTCTATTTCCAAAACTGTCCGACTATCCAAAACAGAAACTGTGCCCATTAAACAATAATGCCACATTTTACACCGCAACTTTTTTTTGAAGTACAATAAACATATGGTAAAATTCACCATTACTATGTGGTTCTGTGAATCCCGAGTCAGATAATCAATGCTGCAGGCCAAACACAAAACAGTCCCCAGCTTCACAGCCCTAAGTGCCTCAAGTTCCTTTTCCATACTAAGATACACACTCACTAAGTCACTAAATTGTGTAGGCTGCGCTCAGACTTGTGATCCTCCTGCCTCAGCCTCCAGGTATCACCATACCTGGCTACTCAATTTCCTTTTTAATCTGTTTCCCCACGCCTCTTCTCTCGAAACCCCTGACACCGCTGATCTGCTTTGTGTTTGTAAAGCGCTACCTTTTCCAGAAGGCCACACACATGAAATCACAAATACACAGGACACCGAATCTTGCGCTGTCACTCAGCTTCGTGCATCTGAGGCTCACCCTAGTGCGCGCCCCTTTTTACTGCTGAGTAAAAGTACTCTGCGCGGGGCTGCACCGCTTCCCATTCATTGGTGTGAGTGCCACTTGCCTCTTCCTACCCTCCGCGTTTCCCTGAGACGACGCCTAAATCACGTGGCCTGACTTAGCGGAAGCCACCTCCCTGTCTGAAATCAGACCGTCAGCCGTGGGCCACAAAGCCTGGGTCCTCCCCACGCTGTGGGTGTGACAGGCCTCCAGGCTCCGCGTTGGTTTAAAGGAAATGACAGTTACTACTCACATAAGGAGGGCTGGAGACTCCTCTCGTGGACCGCGTCTCTCGGGGGCTGACGTGGTGGCACAAGCCCGTGGCCCCTGGCACAGGCGGGGGCCAGCCCCTTGCTCTACCATCCTCAAGGTTTTCCTCAGCGCCAAGCAAGATGGCGGCGGTGGTTCCCACAGCTCGCGTGTTGTAGGCTCGGTCCCCACTGCTGCAGTGCCCAGAGGCGGAGCCTTTGGGTGGTGACAGGACCAAAGGGTTCACTGATCTCGCTTCTCAAGGATTCAGAGCAAGCTGGTTTCCGAGCAAGACTGTTGTTAAACTAGTTTCTCGCTCTCCCCTTTCTGGCCTCCGTGATCTGCGCAGGTCGGCTCCAGGACTTGCTTACTGGGGACAATCATGCCAAATGTCCATGGTCTGAAACTTTGGGAACCATGATCCAAGTAAATCTCTTACAAGTTAGTTTTCTCAGGGGCCTCGTGACACCAATGGAAACTGGCAGAAAACTGGCGCCAAGAGTAGGCCGGGGTGACCAATCCAGAAGAAAGCTCCCGAAGCCCCGCCCATTGGCACTCTCCTCAAATCTCATTGGCCAGCATTGGTCACATGTCTGATCCTTACTTCTGGTAAACTCACCTCTCAGAAGCGAATGGTTAAGTGGGAAGACAACTGGAAACTTGAGTAAAACAGAGGAGAAAAAAGGAAAGAAAGAAAGGAAAGCCAGTCCACGGTGTCTGCTACAGATTACACTATCAGCAAGGTTACCCATCCCAGAAGCAGTAAGATCGAGTTAGTTATGTGCTAATTCTCTTCAATTTTATGAGACAGAATGAGAAATCCATCATCCCAAACCTGAGAGGATCAAGTGATATCTATGCAAACCCTAAGATAGTTTTAGACAGTGTATTTGAACTAGTCACATGGTCCTGGTTTCATCTTTCAGGAAAGCAACTCCAGTAGGCTTAAGCTAAAAGTAATTTTAGAAAGTTTATTGGTATGAGTGGCTGCAGGCACAGCTGGATCTCTGAAGTTGCATTTCTTCTTCTTTGGACTCTGACTTGTTCCTTTTTGGCTTTATTCTCAGACAGTCCTCTTCTCCCAGGAGCTGTGTACCAGAACCTCAGACTTAGATGACTCCCCTACCCAGTTTAACACATTCAGGATTAGGAAAAAAAAAAACCTACTCCTAAAAATTCCATCAGAACTTCTAGAGAAGATTCTTGCTGGTACAGATCAGATCACGTGCCTGTTCCTGAACCAATCAGCATGACTGCTAGACCAGGTCCTGGTCACACACTCAGTTCTGTGCTGGCGCAGAGTGGTGATGAGGGGTGAAGTCACAAGGACAAAAACTGATCAAATAAAGGAAGAAAGGTCAAAGTAGTACTTGTCTCCTATAGTCTTATTTTTACTGACAGAAAATCGAAGCTCCTCAATGCTTCACCACCCCACCACCACCACATCTGCCAGCAACAGTCAAGAGGATAGGTAGGCCTAAGCTTCCCTGTCAGCCTCTTCTAAACTCTCTTTCTCTCCCCAGCTTCCTCATCCAAGGATTCTCCTGCGTTTTTCTGAACTGGAGGTTACCTTATGGTTGAAACGTGACATTTTAGAGCATTGCTGTGAACTGAATGTGTCCTTACCAAATGCATATGTTGAAGCCCTTAACTCCCAATGTGATGGTATTGGGAGATGGGGCCTTTGCAAGACTGTAGTTTAGATGAGGTCATGAGGATAGGACTGTCATGATGGGATCAGTGCTCTTACAAGAACAGATACCCAAGAGGCCCCCTTCCACTAAGTGATAATATCTTGGGGAGGCAGCCATCTGCAAACCAGGAAGAGAGCATCACCTGAGCCCAACCATGCTGGCATCCTGATTTCAGACTTGTAAGAACCAGAATGGTAAGAAAATTGATTCCTGTTGGCTAAGGCTCCCTGTCTAAGGCAGTTTGCTATGTTGGCCTGATCTGACTAATACCTTTAGACTTTTTTTTTAAAGAGTAGAATATATTTTTTGAGAGAAAGAAAGCTTCTGCCCAAGAGAGAGACAGAAGGAGTCCCGAGCATGTTGCCCCATTTAGACTTTTTAGACCAAATCTCTTAGTTATTTTTGTTTCATTGCTGAGACAAAATACCTGACACCTAAGATTAAGGAAGTAAATATATATGTAGCTCACAGTTTGTGGAGGTTTCAGTCCGTACTCGGCTGGCTCCAAGGCACATGGCAGAGGGCAACAGGTCATAGCAGCAGATGAGAGCAAAGGCAGCAGGAGAAAAATGGGAGGAGCGCAAGACAAGACTCTTTCTATCCCTTGTACTGTATGTAGGCTACACACCGTAGGGTGGGTGTAGCACTCACACCCATAACCATAGCACTGGACCATGAATCAGTTACAAACTCTAGAAGCCTGCCCCTGTGACTTATGAGGCTTTGGTGGGGGGACATCTAGACACAAACCCTAACACCA